CAAAAAATAGGGTGTAAATTGGTGGAAATCGCCGATGATAAATATTGTGTTGGATTAAGTGTTATTCTAACCTAACCCCTCGTAAAACCCCGGGAAAATCACTAAACCCGGGACCCCATGGGGTTCGAGGTGCTGTATTTGTGATGGTGATATGTATCTTGATACTGGTGAGGGGGTCTTGATCCTGGAATTAACCCTTTCGGGTCCAAGGCCCCAAAACGGGTCACGCACCATGTCCAAGAATTTTCAAAAAAAAAAATTTTTTTTTTCTTATGAAAACGTTTTGAGAATCTTTTTTTGAAAGGGAATAAAACAAAAAGTACGAAATTTGGTGGAAAATTGACGAAAAAATGCCTCGCGAATTTTGATGTCTCAGCGATATTTACAAATCGGGGGGATTTTCCACTTTGACTCCCATTTTTTGGCCAATTAATTATTCCCAAACAAACCCAAAACTTAGTATTTCACTAGTATTACTTCAAATGTTAAGGGACAAAAAATCGCAAAATCAACTGTTTCAACTTCAAAAAAAAGTGATGGAAATTTTTAATTTGGCCAATTTAACACAAAGTTCAAATATTCCAATTTCAAAATAGGGTCCCGAATAACAATGTGGCTTCCTGGCACTAAACTAACATTTCCTTGTTATTAGTTAGTTTGGGCTTTTCAAAAAATTCCATTTTGATTTTTTATTACTAATGAATTTTTTTTACACCAAAAAAAAGAAATTTACTGTTATGCAAAATTGTAATAATTATAAATTCATCCCATATTTGTGAATGTATATTGACCCACCACTGACGTGTATTGATGTGTGAGGCCGTTTGTTTATTCTTGAATATCAGCAAAAATTTAACATTTCTGCTACTTTGAGCTCAGTTTCAAGCCATTTCCAGTGCTAAAACCAATCAAAATCATCTCTATTTCTGTAATATGTCTTCCATTCTATCAAATGAGACCAAGAAATCGCAAATACAACTATAAAAAACATACGAAAAAACACTGCAAAGTTGCTGTTTTAATCGAAAAATCATGATTTCATTTTTTTCTCTCATTATACACAGTGTGCTGCAGGATCTGTTTTATGTGGTGCACACATACCACATAGATGTATTCTCTCATATCTAGGCCCAAATGTACCACTCACAGTTTATCAGAGTGAGCTGAGCTCATGGCATAGATCTACGGTTTGGACCCTGAACGTAAAGTCGTAGATCTACGGGACGGACCCTGAAAGGGTTAAACCTGTCTTCTTAACAATACTTAGATAACCAGTTCAGTGACTACTTTGCTCTCCAAGAAGATAAAACTGAGCAAGATAAACTATCAGATGGAGTAATAGTTAACAGTCCACTTTTTCCCAGTGATATGAACCAAACGAACAGTAAAGAAATTACTATCCAGATCATAAAGGACCAAACAAAAGTTACAGTACCAGAGTCAGAAATAAAGGAAGCCAGGTTACTAGGATCCCATGATAGAAAAAGTGTTATGCTTAGATTCCACTCACATGACAGGAAAAAAGACTTAATAATTGCATCTATTAAAGTAAAGAAAGAGGTATACATAAACGAGTGTCTTACCAAAAAACGTCAGAACCTCCTGTATAGAGTCAGAAAACTTAAGCGGGAGAATAATGACACAATACACCAATGCTTCACACGGGATGGGAAAATTCTAGTTAGGAAAACAAATGTAAGTCAGCTGTACACAATCACAAACGAGAATGATCTATCACGATTTCTCAGGGATACTAATCTTACAGAGAATAACTAAACAAGGTCCAATCTAAAAGCCTACGTAGTGTAGTGTATGTTTTGCTCCATTATTGTTCAAATTTCATAGTACAATCTCTTAGTAATTTAAAAAATTCAACTACCTCATTTTGTGATTTTACTAGTAAGCATAAGTCACCTTATGTAATTTTCTTATTTACTATTGTTTGCTTAAATATTAGCTGAATTGATACTTTCTCTGTCCATATTACTATCTCATATTTTTTTAAATACTATTAATTGATATTACTTACTAAAATTAATAATTAATTACCATTTTTACTATCAGTACAATTTACTCTTAACATTTTTGACATCATTTAATTACCATTACTTGTCTAATTACCATAACCTGTTTTAATACCACATTTACTATCATAGAGTACTCTTAACCCTTTGAGGGTCGACAGGCCCTCTCCGAAACTCGTTCTCAGGGTCGGCCAAATTTAAAAAAAAAAAAAAATTATTTTCTCTTATGAAAAGATAGAGAATCTTTTCCCGATCATAACGACACCAAAAGTTTGAAATTTGATAGAAAACTTACGGAATTATGCTCTCGCAAAGTTAGCGGTCTCGGCGATGTTTACGGATCGGCGATTTTGCCCGCTTTGAGCCCCATTTTCGGCCAATTTCACTGTACTAGTCGACAAAAAACATGAATATTTCGCTAGAACTCCATTTTTTCTATCGAATGGGTGCAAGAAACCACCCATTTATAAATTCAACTATCCAGTACAGTGGTCAGAATTTAGCAATTTTGCCAATTTCACACAAATTTCAAAAGATGCCAATTTCGGAATAGGGTCCAGAATAAACAAGAAAGACATTCCTGGCACTAAAATGACATTTCCTCTAGTCATTAGTCACGTCTCAAGGCCCCTCTTATATTCTTTTGCTTTCCACTTTGAATTTTTATTCTCACAAAAAATATAAGATTTACTGTTATGCAGACTACTGCATTAGTGTAAAAAATGGTATAAATATTATTGGTGCACTTGTGAAAGAATATCAGACTCACCAGTTGATGTGTATTGCACGCTTGGCACGATTTGTTTACTTTTGAAGTTTGGTAAAAATCGAACATTTCTGCTACTTTGAGCTCAATTTCAAGGCACCTTTCATTGTAAAACCAGTCAAAATCATCTCAATTTCAGTAATATGTCTTCCATTCTATAAAATGAGACCAAGAAAACTAGAATACAACAATAAATACTATACGAAAATACACTGCAAAGTCGCTGATTTATTAAAAAAAAATGGAAAAAGTTTTTTTTTTCTCATTATGCACCGTTTGCTGCAGGATTTTTTTTAGACTGTGCACACTGACCACATAGACCCATTCTTTCATATGAAGGCCTACCAGCTTTCTCCCACTAGATTTGAGGTCGCTAGAATTTATGAGTACTAGTACGTCAAAAACCCCTACGCGTAAGACGTACTAGTACGACGAAAACCCTCAAAGGGTTAAATACCTTGTACTGCCAAATAACCTCAAGTATAACTACCAGTCCAATATTGAATCCAAATAACTGTTCTTAAAATTTAATACTTGAAATAAACATTACTTTTTCACTTTTTTTTTGCTAATTAATCTTTTTTGTAATCATTATTACTTACTAAAATTTTATTAAACACTATATTTACTACCAGTCAATTTTACTTTTGTACATTAATCATTATTTTATACTTTTCATAAAATTTTGTTGCCAAATTTTCAAGTTTGTATATTCAACTCCAACCTTTATATTATCCTTTGTACCTGTGCACCTGTGTACCTGTCTACCATCTTACTATCATATTATAACCAAGTCATTGCCATTGTTATATTTTACTTATTATTCTTTTGGTACTTTAATTTGTGAATTTTATTTTGTCAATTTAAATCTAGTTATACTCTTGATCTTGTTAACAACCTATATCAGACCCTAGTGCAATTGCAAGTACCATTTTAATTGGAAATAAATGGTATAAAATACCGACTCAATATAAATATAAACACATATACAGTGTAATGTGATCCTTTATTGACAACGTTTCACCCACACAGTGGGCTTTTTCAAGTCACAAACAGATCTACCTGGGGTGGAAGGTACGTGAGTATTTATAGTCAGGTTCAGAATGCTGAGGTCAGGTGGGGAATGCTGCATCTGATGATGTACTGAGTGGGGTTATAGAGTCTAAAATCTTGGGTAGCTTGGAAGGGAGATTGGATAAGTTTGTGAGCAGACCTTCTGCAGTGTTCTTCCATTCCTATGCTCTTATGTGGGATAGCGATGAAGAAGTTTCTTCGCAAGTGGTTCAGCTATGTTATAGAAGCCACTATTCTGGTTGAAGTTGTCGGATATAGAAATAAGCGATGATTCCAGGATTCTTCGGTATTGAGTGTTGTCTTCTGTGGCGATAAGTCTTGAGTTTCTGTAGTTTATCAAGTGGTTGTGTGAATTACGGTGTTGTACACAGGCATTCTTTGTATCGTCAGACCTGCTTGCGTATTGGTGTTCTGAAATACGTGTTTGGAGGACCTTAAATTCCAATATTAACCTTGACCTAAAATGCTTTCTTGATAGTTGTGACAGGATCCACAGGCATAACACCAGACACAAACATTTCTATGACATTCCCCGTGTTCGACCAAACCTTTACAAAAATTCAATGTATTTCAAAGGACCTAAAATTTGGAACACCCTACCTGAAAACTCTAGAACTGCAGACACATTCATCACTTTCAAAGCTACAGTTCGAAAACATCGTATCTCCCTGATCCACCCCGACAACTAACTACATGATAACCACCTGGTGGTTCACAATTACACTCACTCACCCACTGACTATAAACCCAGAAATACTAATCTTAATCTTAAAATAATAAATCCTAACTAGTCAAAAGTTTATATATGATACTCCAATATAGACACTTTGTATTGTGCCAAAACAAAAGCATTCACATTGCTAAACTCACAAATTATGATGTAGTCACTTAGCCTTAATATCATAATCTGTAAGGATTTAATGTTAAGAATTAATTTAAGTCTGCTCGAAATGCCTAGCCATGTTAGGTGTCCTAGTGGCCCCCTCTGTAATTAGTATTTTATAACATGTAAACTACACAATACCCAAAACCTGTAAACCCCACATTGTAACCCTTATAGAGAATAAACTTGAATTGAATACTGCATGTAAATACAGAGCAGACACTTAATGACTGCAGTTTATTGTTCATTTTAGGTTTCATGGAGCCTTCACTGGTGGGTTTTCAGCTGGCTACTTCAACTCAGTGGGGACAAAAGAGGGATGGACACCCTCTTCATTTGTGTCCACTTCCAGCCAGCGAGCAAAAAGTGTACAATCCCAGCCTCAAGATTTTATGGATGAGGAGGTATATTAACTTTTTGTTACTCAATGTTAAAAATTCACTTAATTTATTGATTTTGTGTTGATTTAACCCTTAAACTGTCCAAATGTAGATCTACATTTTTTCAACATTTGAAAGTATGTAAAAAAGTAGATCTTTTTTTTTTTTGTTACATTTGAAAACGTGTAAAAAAACTTTGATCTACGTTTTTTTTTTGTTATATTTGAAAATATGTAAAAAAACGTAGATCTGCTTTTGGAGCACTACGCATGTGAACATAGATCTGCTTGGACAGTTTAAGAGTTAAATACCTTATATAATATAATTTTATGTTGGTGAATTTCCTCTGCCTTCTTTGCTCCACTTTGATTATCCAGTCTCTTCTTCCTCTAGCTCTTCCTAATATCTCTACATTTGAACACCTAGTTCTTGGCTTTTCTACTTCTTACTTCAGTTTTCAGAGTTCTGTTAAGGGTTCATTCTTCTTTGATTGGAGGTGGTGATTTTCTGTGGTCAGGTTCCACTAACCACTAATAGGCACAGAGACATTGTGGTAAACCTATTACAACAGTAACTAGGCTCTACCATTACTATTCACCCAGTAAGTTATTTATTTACCTTTTCCTGTGCACTTGTGCTACTTTGCTGTCTGCATCATCAACTTTATAGGCTCAAGCACCAGTTGGGTGATTGATTCTTGTCTGTATAGACCTTAAAAGTACTTGGAGAGTATTACTCTCATGTGTGGACTTTTTAGTTACTTTTCCCAACTGAAAGATATTGATAAATAACATCTGTGGTGGGACTTAGGGAAACCAATTAGTTGGACTTGAGTTCTGAACATGGAAAGTAAAGTGCCGACACTCTGATGGAGGAGGGTACAAGGTTTTCCTCAGGGCTCACAATTCAAAATCCTCTATTATTACATCCAGACTGTTGAGATATTTAGCAGTTTAGTCAGCTTTTTCTTCCTGAGTGTCTTGTTCCCAGTGCTTATATCATGTAGTATTGTATAGTTCCATTATGATGCACATGAATTAATACCAAGAATTTTCTAAGGTATAATGAGTATGTTATTATATAATTTGTTAACATACAGGACAATTTATTCATCAGAATTCAGTTTAAATCTTACGTGTATTATGACATGTGGATGTAAAGACTGCATATCCCAGTTATAATTATTTTAATAAAACAACAGTATTGTGATTACAGGATTTGGAAGCACATGGCATATTGCCTCAAGGAATCCAGGCCTCTGCCAATTTTGATGACAGTGAACAGAAGAAGAGAAAAAGAGTTTTGGATCCAAGTGGACCCATTCCAGGAACACCAGTGCTTGAAGATATTCTGAAGCCCAGCAGGCAAGTACTGTATTACTGTATTAACTTGTACAGGAACAGATGATCTAAAGTTAGCATATGTGATCATCAGGATTTAGGAAATTAAGCTTAATTCCAGAGAAGATTTTTCAGCACTTCTTTTATTCTGACCATGACAATGCCTTTTAGTGTAGCATTAACATGGGGCTACTGGGAAATTTGGAAACAGCTGCAAAAGTTGGCAGAGAAATTTTGGACTGTTGTATTAACTCTTTCACTGTCTCTCACATAGATCTACTTTACTGATGTCAGAGTTGCTTACATAGATCTGCATCAGAGAATGGGTCTGTGTGGTGAGCGTGCACTATATAAAAAAACAAAAAATTCTGCCCCCACACAGTAGATGATGGGAAAAGCCAATGTCTGTCTTGTTTCTAGTTTAAAATACGTATAGTGTGTACCGTTTTCTATTAAATATTAACACGGTATCTTTCTTATAGTATTTCTTGTATATGGCTTAAAATTTTAATGGTTTTATTTAGGGAGACTATGGGAATGAAACTTTTGCGTCGCTTGGGATGGAAACCCGGACAGGGAGTTGGACCTAGGATTAATCGACTCCAGAAGTTGTCAGCACGTAAAGAGAGAGAGAGAATATATGGTTGCCTGCGACCTGAACATGCAATGAAAGGTAAAAATTATTAATTAATAACTAGAAACAGTTATATATTGGGCAATGTTTCTTATGTAGGATGCTGTAATTTAATCAGGACTGTAACACGGTATGCAGGTACATTCAGACTCCCAGTTTTCTGGGGTTCCTACTTCAGTGAATTTGATTAATTAATTTTTTACTGATGCAAATAACTGAATTTAAATTCAGTTCTTTGCAGGTTGTTTTCCAGTGCCTATTATTGAGGGTTTGACATTTGACTCCTGAATTGATTTTGGCATTCAATCTCTAAATTGAAAAAATAGCCACAGGATTTTGTTCAAAATATTTTCACTAGTTTGTCCATGCTCACCTCTCTTCCCTTCGTGATCTTTCTTGTGAATGTCAGCATGAAGCAGATTAGTGACATTAAAGGTGTATAGTCTCTTATACACACAATTTATTATGCAGACCTAATTTTTTATTATTCATGGATTTTAGTTTCATTGGATCTCTATGAACATAACTTTTCAGGAATTTGAGGGTCAAACTGTATGTATGTTATTTTATTGTATAAATGGTCGTATAAAGACAAAGAACAACTTTTTATTAATTCCAACTAGTGTGTGAAATTGTTTACAGTAAACCTTCAGTTTATGGGCTTCAGAAATACATGACAGGAACTGCTGGATTGGATGATTTAGAAACAACATTTGTTTACAGAATTGTTCATTATTTATACAGTCATGACAAAAACAGTCTCATCTCTTCCCACCACACTTATCACTACTGGTCACTCACTCCTCTTTATCAGTCTGTTACATTGATAATTTACCTTGTAAAGAAACAGTTCTTTGTTACCACCATCTTCTTTTAATTAATATTACAGTGTATATATTGTCCATTGTTTGTAGATTCTGAGAGTGAGAATGAGGAAGAGGAGGACCTGCAGGACATGACTTATGCTCCTGATGATGTTGACACTCTCCACCTGACAACACCCAAGACAGATCACTTTGGACTGGGCTATAAACCTTTGGAGCGTTCTTCTCTGCTTGGTGCACACATCAACCTTTTTGAACCATCTCCTTTAGTTATGACTGAGAAGAAGAAAAAAATTCTAATAAAGGGGCAGGTAAGTTATCATGACATAAATTACAGAAATGTTTAATTGAATTTTAGTACATCATTTAGTTATAGGGTATAGATTATTTTATTACAGATTATTTTATTACAGCATATTATTGTATAGTACAGTAGTTCACCAAAACAATCTAGTATTTTCCCATAACATATGGGTATTGGATGCAGTAATTCAGTTCATTATCATTTAAGCGCTAAGCGTGTGTGGATCATGCAACGCAAGAAGTGAGGGAGGCTCAATCCTCCATCTGCTGAACATGAGACAGATGCACTTCCTATTTGTGCTCACCTATATGTCACAGTAATTCATTTGCTGTGGTTTAGTTGGTAACAGCCTCAGCTGGCACAGTGAAGGATCATCAGGGCTTCAACCATCTTCCCATGTTAACTGTTACCATTATGTTGTTATGACTGAAGTTAGACTGGCCATAGTGACCACCACTACCTTCCCATGTTAACTGTTACCACTATGTTATGACTAGAGCTATATGTAAGGTGACTGTCACCTTCCCATGTTAACTGTTACTACTCTGGCTGTTTTGACTGGGACTAAATGGCAAAATGAACCCAGAAAATAACAAAAAAGAAAATAGGGAATAACAATGAAAAACAGAGGGTGGAGGGGGTTAAACTGAGCAAAAGTGATGAGGAAAACTTTTTTATTGTAGTAAATAATGGTATTGTATTAATAAAGAGCTGTCATTTCTAGCAGTTAATAATCAAACCCAGCATAAAAATAGTTTTTCCTGCACCAAAATGTAGTGCAGGCATTATATTTCCAGGTAGGACACACTTTTAGGTAGCCACTTTTTAAGTGGTTCCTTTGAATGCCATTGTATTATTGCACAACTCTGCAGTGTGTCCATTAAAAAGCCTTTAACACTGTCATATGTCAAAAAAATGTAAAACTTTTCTATATTTCCCTGTAAAGCTTTGATGTGTATTATTCTGACCTATATTTGATGAGTATCATAGTAGTGGTAGTGTCTGTTGTGTAAGATAAAAGGTTCAATGTATGTTTTGATCACAAATGTTCTTTCATTGGAATCATGATTTTTTTTTTTATGATGGCCTTTTTTATTTTTTGGAACTGACTCACAATATTATTTGAGACTGGCCCATTCCTGGAGCTAATTATATTGCATGTGAGGCATACTGCTGACAAGTATGGGTTTGGACACAATATAAAGAAAAAGTTTTTGTTGGGGCTATGTTTCACTTGAGTTGAACTTATCAAATCATTACTTGATAAAGTTCTTTATATTGCATTGGAGTGTTGGAAAATAAATTTGAATAAACTTACTTTCACTGGTACGGAAGACAGTGACAGCAGCTGAAGAGGATCAGCAGACTGCAACACTCCAGCATCTGAGATCACACACTGGAGTAAGGAGCATCAGCAGACTGCAGCACTCCAACAGTAGAACTCACACATTGGAGTAAGGAGCATCAGCAGACTGCAACACTCCAGCAGCTGAGATCACACACTGAAATGAAGAGGATCAGCAGACAACACACCAGCAGCAGAGCTCACATACCCGAGTGAGAAACATCAGCAGCTACTACCTCATAACCTTACTAGACTTCTCATATTTGCTGTCTTGTCTCCTCATTAGCAACTATATCTATATTTTAAATCATGTTTACAACTTCCTTTGATAAGTAAGTGGGAGAGACAGAGAGGTTACTAGTGAAAATTACTGGTGGTGGAGGCCAGATTGCTATGCTCAACTATATACACCCCCCCTGCCCACATAATATGGGAAGGGTATACCTCTCTCTCTCATACAGTGCTCTTAATTAAAGCATGCTGGATGGAAGGCAGCCAACATAATTAAATGCCCTAAGTAATACCCTACTGTAACACATTTGTTGAAAAGACAAGCTGACCTAGTAACTTGAAGTGGGATGTCTCAGGATTTCCATATGGCTACTGGCTGTATCATGAGTGCCTTCTGGGTTTATGTGATGAACAGTTTTTTGTCTATAGTCCAGCACTGTATTGTCTTGAGGACTAAGTGTGTTGGTCATTTTTGGCTATTGACGATTTAGTATAGGGAAGATTAAGTTTCTGAAACAAGAGACAGTTACAGAGATTATTGGATTACATCAAACAAAGGAAATAGTAGAAGCAGTGTACACCAAGGACCTGGTTGTGTTGGTTCCTTGAGTACAATGTTCATGACATAACCACACCAAAAGTATGTCCAGGGAATCCTAAAAAAAATCTCCCCACTAATGCTAACTGTAATAACATGTAGAATTGGTCTTTTATCAGTGTGGTGTGGTGCAAGGTTGTTATGCAAAACAGTGCTCCTTGTGAAGAATGAGACACTAATGTAACATTTAGGAATCTTTATTGAGGAAACGTTTCGCCACACAGTGGCTTCATCAGTCCATTACAAAGAAGAATGGTGTAAGGAGAGGAGGAGTCTGAGGTAATCAGTCCCTCAGCCTGGAATTGATATGTTCAGTCCATCAGTCTTGAAGAAAGTACAGCATATGGTTGAAGAAGTGGCTTATATACTGTAGTCAGGCGAGTCAAAGCAGGAGGAGGCAGGATCACAGTGGAACCATCCACTAGTGTAAGTAGGTCTTTGTCCAAAGGTTGGACAAGTGTTGAAGAATTCCTTGTATCAAGATCCCATGATGTTACAGTGTCTGATAGGTGTGATAAATGGTTTAGAAAACCAACAGGTTGAAGAATGAGACACTGATGCAACATGTGGGAATCTTTATTAAGGAAACGTTGTGCCACACAGTGGTTTCATCAGTCAGCTAAGAACAGTGCCTTTTTTGTCTGAAAATCAATATTAACCACACGAAGCATTATTTATAAAGAAATGGCTCTAAAACACAAAATAAACCTAAAGCTGAACAAAATTATGTGGACATCAGTAATTAAGACTGTAAACAATTGCTAAAGAACTGGAACAGATTACATATACATAACATTTATTCTTAAAGTTTTAGGATTAATTTGCCTGAAATGTTTTCATAAAAGTGACTTTCTTTTGAACATGCAATTGTATCAGTTGTATCAAAACTGTAACTGACCCTTTGAGGGTCAAGACTCCTGCTCGCAAACTTGCTCCCAGGGTTGAAGAATTTAAAAAAAAAAAATTACTTATCAAATGACAATCTTTTTCTGAAGGTAATGAAACCAAAAGCACAAAATTTGATGGAAAATTTACGGAGTTACGATCTTGCGAACTTAGTGGTCTCGACGATATTTATGCATCAGTGATTTTGACCACTTTGAGCCCTATTTTGAGTCAGTTCCATTGCTCCAGTCAACCAAACTTATAGCTGTTTAGCTAGAACTCCTTTTATTCTATCGATTGAGTACAAGAAACTGCCCATTTACCTATTTCAACTACGCAATTTCACACAAAATTCAAGAAAGCCCAATTTCAAAATAGGGTCCAGAATAAATAATGTAGATATTTCTGGTGCTAAAATAACATTTTCTCTGTTCATTGGTCACATCTCCAGGCCCTTCTTGTATTACACTTTCTTTTCATTTTGAATTTTTATTCTCAAAAAAATAGAAGATTTACTGTTATTCAGACTACTGCATAATGGTAATAATTGTATAAATAAAGTCAGTGCAATCATAAGTGCATATTAGTCTGGCCAGTTGACGTGTATTGGATGCGTGACGTGATTTGTTTACTTTTGAATATTGGCAAAAATTGAACATTTCCACTACTTTGAGCTCAATGTCAAGCTACTTTTAGTCTGTAAACCATTCAAAATCATCTCTATTTCTGTAATATATCTTCCATTCAATCAAATGAGGTCAAGAAACCGAGAATACAACCATAAAATCCATACAAAAATACACTGCAAAGTCGCTGTTTTACACCAAAAACACATTCCCATTTTTTTCTCATTATGCACTACGTGCTGAAGGATTTCTTTTATACTGTGCACACTGACCATGGCAACCCATTCTCTCATATGTAGGCCTACCAGCTTTCTCCTGCAAGACTGGAAGCTGCTAGAATTTTGGCATAGTATTACGGGACCATCCCTGGCTTCAAAGCCATAATATTATGGGATTGACCCTGAAAGGGTTAACTATTACAACTTCTTTGTATGTTTCTAAAAAATAGAGCTTATATTGTAGTTTAATTTTTATTTTATTTACTTCATCTTTGATATCCTACATGCACTACTTAGTCTGAGTAAATACTTCATGTTAATCAAGGAAGCTACAATTTAGAGCAACTTGAAAGATTTAAAGAAAAAAAAAGCTGTGTCCCAGTATGTACCTTCAAAATCAATGTTGATAAACATGCAGAATTTGATATAAATTTGAATATATAATGACCTTTAACAGTATGAGTTGCATTATATGCCAAAAGATTATTCACTTGCTACCTCCCCATTGTAATGTAATTCACAATATTACATTTAAGGGATAGGAAAGCTGTGATTTTGTGTATAGGGCAAGGAGGGATAACATCTTGTAGGAATGAGGAAGAGCGAGTTGTGGGGAAAGTTCGTGAGGCAATGGGTTGAATGAAAGGGGGTAAGGCAGCCGGGATTGATGGGATAAAGATAGAAATGCTAAAAGCAGGTGGGGATGTAATTTTGGAGTGGTTGGTGCTTTTGTTTAATAAATGAATAGAAGAGGGTAAGGTACCTTGGGATTGGCAGAGAGCACACATAGTTCCTTTGTATAAAGGTAAAGGGGACAAAAGAGAGTGCAAAAATTATAAGGGAATAAGTTTGTTGAGTTATAGGTAGTAGGTTGGTAGACAGCAACCGCCCAGGGAGGTACTACCGTCCTGCCAAGTGAGTGTAAAACTGAAGCCTGTAATTGTTTTACACAATGGTAGGATTGCTGGTGTCTTTTTTTTTCTGTCTCATACACATGCAAGATTTCAGGTACGTCTTGCTACTTCTACTTACACTTAGGTCACAATACACATACATGTACAAGCATATATATACACACCCCTTTGGGTTTTCTTCTATTTTCTT